GTTCAAAGCGGATCAATACCTGCAATATCACCCACATGGATGCATTGATTAACCAAGGATTAATGTTCATGCTTCAGTTGACTGATAGGAGACTGGGGCTCTGGGACAAAAAGAACTTGGTGAGAGACCGACATGATGCCCAATTCCAATGCGATCTTCTGCTCACATTTGCAATTGCTTCAACTGTCAACATAGACCCCTCCAGGACAAAAGGCCAACCCAACCCCATCGGTCTGAGGGTACTGTATATGCAACAAATCAGACACAAATCCGTCAGATCAACTTATGCATATCTTTGGTTCTTACCCAAGACCATCCAAGGCATACGCCTTTTGGCATCTTTTGGACCTTCTGCCACAACCGACCAATCTCAGACCCTACCCATCTCCGACCCCCACCGACGCCTCCCCGGCAGCTTCTCCCACCTCCCGTGCGCCAACCCCAGTTGGTGGGCAACGCCGTGTCGCAGCTCGCGCCGGTGGCGGGCGCCCTCGTGGGCGCCGCCGGCGGTCTTGCCGCTCGGCTTCATCGGCTTCGGCGACGCGAAACGACGATTTCAAGGGTAGACACGCCGTCGACATGATCCGAAGGTGATGTAGGTCATAGGTGATGTAGGTGTAGGTCATGTCACTGAGATTTTTTCGATTCAACGACTTAAGTTCGAGGGCTATTATTGGTCCAGTCCAAGCATCAAACAAGCAAAATATCTAGATCGATTATATCCATGGTTTGGCCTTACCAGGGCTGTGTTGTTAGAAGGTATCCCACGCAGCAACCTCCTAAGGCAAAGGCTGGAATTCTGGGTGGCGGGAAAATCCAAGTTGTGTGCGGAGTGTCGACCCCAAGGAATCAATGCCAGACTCTTCTCCTTTCACGATCCTTTCACGCCCATTTTCAGCATATAGAACCGTCGTTCTCACAAAAAGCACGTTGATTAAAAAACTATCCAACATATATGTTGGAACTCAACTTAGGGAAGCTATAGTACAATGGTACCATACACATGATTACACATGTGGACTGCACTCAAAAAGCCCTACTCAAAAAGTTTAGATAAACGTAAACTTTTAGGGTTGGAGATGAGTTTTAAGTCTTCGTTTAGAAGCGGGCCCCCAGCAGACTATGGTGATACAGCAAGGCAGCGCTAGATTGGCGCTAGGTTGGCGCTAGGTTTCTTCATAACAAGATAAGCAAAGAAGAAACAAGCAGAGAGCAGGAAAAAGAAGAAGCACCACAAGAAAAAGGAAAAAGAAAGAAGAAGAAGAAGAAGAATGCACAACAAGAAGAAGACAAGCAAGCAGGAAAACTAAGAACCTGACAGGATGAAGAAATCGACGGATATTTTTGCGCTAGGCTGGCGCTAGATCCGCGCTAGCACCGCGCTAGACGACGGTCCATTTCTTGACCATCTGCCCATCCAACACCTGAATGTTTTGAGTCAGCTCTTACGTCCTTCCTATGTCGTTCTGAAGACTTCTGAGAATTGGAAACAACTGCAGAAGTCTAGCAGCAGCAGCAACAACAACAACAGCTCCAGCAGCTCAACAGGCCCCTGAAAAGGTCCGCGCTAGACACCTCTCACAATTTTTGCAGTTGACATGCCTTCATATTGAACATCCCTGTGGTTTGAGTGTGGTTGGAGTTTAAAGGAGATTTAGAAGCGGGCCCCCATGGAACTGCGATCAGTGCACCATTTTGGGAAAAGACATATTGGAAGCCAACCATGTACGCACGACATCTGTGATGGTCGTCGATCATCACCATCCACACAGCTTCCACCACTTTTCAAGTATGACACAGAAAACACAACAAGCATGCAAGCACCATGTCCAAACAGCCAACATCCCCCCCCAAATCCTGCACTCCACCTCCCGAACTCTGGTGATGTCTATAGGGTTCTATGGCGAGCCGCTGTTCTCCGTCCCAGGTGACTCCTCTGGGCCCGGCCGCGGGAGCCGGCTTGGGCGTGGTCACCGGTGTGGGCGCTGCGAACTCCTTGGGGGTCGAGGCGGGGCACCGCGCGACGCGCTGGGGCGGCGCGGCTGGTTTCGGGGTGCAAGTTGGGTGGGTTTTGTGTGGGATCGCGTGGGGGGAGAAGGGGAAAAAGCGGAAAAAGGGCAGGGTAGACAACATGTGCCAAAGTGAGGTACGAAGGAGGAAATTCTAAGAGAGTTATAGCTATGCGTGCTGAAAAAGGACATTCAAGATGACTATATAGATAGTGTCTTCTGGGGGATTTTGAATTTCAGGGATGGTTGGGGAGTTGAGACACCACAAGGAGGCGGAGTCACAATCAGTTGTTCATTGTCTTGAAAGCAAGTCGTTTTGTTCACCTCCTAGGTCCTATAGTGGTGGCCTTGCCTTGCATTGCAGGCTTCAGTTGAAGTCTCACACATGTGCTCCAGTGCTTCGTCCGACCCTTCGGCATCCGAAGGAACACTCCAAGCGGAACACTTGTCCAACGCTTCCAACATCCTCGCAGGAGGGTGCTTCCGCACCACCCGTCGAGCCCGAGGGTGCTTGAAGAAGCAGCCTCATCGCTCCCAAGCTCGCTCGAAAGTGCTAGGTTGCGCGGGTGGATCTGTCCAGCATCATGGTCAACAACTTCCGGAACGAGGGTAGAGCCTTCCAGGCGCATTGGCGGCGTGTGACCTAGGATCGGTGAGGATGGGGGGTGGGCAGATTCGGTTTGCGTGGGGAAGCAAGCGTAGATCAAGTGATCGGGGAACAGTCAGTTTCGTGGTCGATATAGCAATCCTCTAGCAGATTTGATCGGAAAAGGCGTTGATGACCTCAATTGGGTGTTTGCGATATGTCAGGCAATTGTTGTCTTTGTTTTTTGGTCAATTGAGTCATTGACAGATGCATTATGATGCATTAATGCACCAACACCAGAACAGCAACATCAAGAATAACCTGGAATAGATTGAACTAGTTTCCAGCTGTGCACTATCCAGCATTTATACAAAGTAATACATACAGATCTACCTGCATCATTATCTCTAAATATGTCAAATATGTGTTCAACCCTTTTCAATCTAGAACTGATCAAGGGGTGTTCAATCACTTAATAGAAAAACACACACACACACGTTGCTTGCTTTCAGGCTCAATTCACGATATACTTGCCACGAAGATGAACTGTGCAGGAACAGCCTTGACCCACCCTAGCTGGTCGGTTGTGAAGTGGAGGTTGAGCACGTGATACTGAAAGCGACCAGATGTTCGCACCGATCAATTATTCCACAGATTCTCCGGGAAAAAGAGTTTGCTGTCGTTTCATTGAACTACATAGCTAACATTTTGACTGAATTGTGAATTCTTCCTCCTTGGACGCACTGTTGGTTCTGATCAGCAGTGCCCTGATCAGCTCAAACAACATCAAACACAGCCCGCTGGTCTCCCAACATGATGAATCACCCCTAGCAGCAGCGGAATCCATGCGATTGCCACCTTGCAGCAGTTGTCTCCATGCGCATGATGCGCCAGACCGCGCCATGGCACCCCGCGCATGAGAGCTTGAGGATGCCGATGAAATTCAGTACTTGGAGTCTCTTGGACTAAGATGGCTTGGACGAAAAGGCAAAGCGAAGAAAGGGAAGAAACTGAAGAAACTTAAAGCTTGTTCCGCTTTTGTTGCCCTGAATTCCGCTATTTTTCTATATTTTTCGTTTGTTTGTTGAAGAAGGCCTTTCGTGCATGAACAACCCAGCAACACATTCCTTGAGCAGCTCAATCGTGGGTGATCTGAATTTCCTCCAAAGTGTTTGGCACAGTGGATAGAAACTGGAATTCATTCCGTACAAGAACTCCAGATGGATCTATCACGATCTATCATGGTTTCTATAGTATATGTTGTCTTTGGATGATGGACCTGTAGAACGGGCTTTTTGGATGATGTTCACTGCCCTAAGCGATAAGATGGCCCCTGAACGGATCTCTTCGTGTGTACGCAACACAAGAAGAACTCAAACTAAGACTGGAGAATTCAGGGTTTCGAACCCACTCTGGCCTAGTTATAGACTCTTATAGACATCCCGTTCTCTTGTCACGCATGAGGTATTGGTGCAAGTTGACCTTCCGCTCCACTGATTTGCATGAATCTTGGGCCAAAGACTTGTTGTCAATTCGGTGGTGCATATTTTCCCACCCCATTGGGAGAAATTAATACAATTGACATGAACATGCAAAGCATTAGAAGCCTAAGCATATATGCACAAACTCAAACTAAAACAATGCAGAACATATGAGCATTCAGCATTCACGTCAAAAGCAAAGCAGAGCCTGAGTCCTGAGTTAGCTTTACACATACACAATTGACTAACGATAAATTTGTCATATCATCTTTCAAGCAGTAGTCTCATTGGGTAGTTTTGCTTTTCAGGAGGAAACCAGCAGGTCTGCCCAGTAAGTTCAAACCCAGAGCCACACCCCGGCTTCCTGGTCGGGACCCTTGCCACCCAAAATCATGGCAGCGGTTTGGCAAGAACCTCCAAAATCATGCTGCTCTTGAACCGTGGGAAGTGGTTGTCTCACAGGATCTTGCAAGACTGGGCCGGATGGGCAAAGCAGGCGTTGCTCAGCACATAGTCAATGGCAAAGGCATTCAGCAGATCAAGCGCGCTAACACTTGCGACTCCTCATTGAAAGCTGGTTTTCGGAAGGCCACCAAGGAAGCAGTGGCATTCGAACAAAGGGAGCCCCATAGCGCAGTGGGGTACATTGGCGACTAAGGCTGCCCCATGGATTGTAGGAGCTGGTGCTGCTTACGAGTTCAGTCAAGCTAAAACCAACACGTGGAGAGCCGAAGCCATTGCCAGTAATGGTGCTGCTTGGGTTGCTGGAGGGGCATACGCAGAAGCTGGCGCTGTTGCTGGTGCTGTTCTTGGCCCTGTTGGAGCAGTGGTTGGTGGCATTCTTGGTGGTTTGGTGGGTGGAGCGACTGCAGCAGCAGCTACAGACACACTGATCAACGAAGTCACCAATGATTGAGAGCAGGCAAATGCTACAAGAGAGAGAGGGGCAAATTTTGTTTTCCACCGCGCCTGAAGGCCGATGCTTGCTCCCCTCCAGGCTCATCCAGGTTCCCACTCGTGTGTTCACATTCTTCAAACCAAAAAATGACAAATTATAATCACTGACTGTCTTTCTTGGCGGGAGTGTTTGCAAGCCGGAAGCTTGCAGGCGTGTACGTAGTACGTACGTTTCCACAAACCGGTAAAACCAGTAGGCTCAACTCTTTGTCATAAGCCCTAATATCCTAAACTGTATTTTTGAAAGGAACACATGCCAGTTTCCTTGTTGATGCTGAATAACGCATTGTGTAGATGGCAAAAGATGCGCATATTGCCTGGTTTTGCAGTGGGGCTATTTGCATCGTCGACGGCTCACTCGTGTTTCCGCTGGAAATGCTTGGAACTAGACAATGCAGAAAAGATGTCATAAATCAATTGTTCGGTGATCCTCTGACGCTGCATGCATCCTATTTGATCAGCGTGCAGTGTTCTTTCCTGAACTCAGTGCAGCCTCCATGTCAATGTCCGATATACTTTAAAGTATTTCCTTTGTAAGTTGTGGGTAGCAATTAGATGCAACTAGTTGTTGTTATGCCCGTTGCTCTTGTCAATGGCACCATGGACACTGAAACATGGATTGATGCATTTTGATCATCACGTCTCACAATCTTTCCATATCTCTCCTATCCTCATCAAGGTTGTGGCTACGTTTTGGCATGTCATATCTCCTGTAAACAAGCCTTAACCTTTCTCTTCGGTGGCGCCAAGGTCAGGACGGCTTGGTCCTTCTATGACGCCAGCGATCTCGAGAATCTTCGCGTGCCCTGGTTTGCAACATGGAACAACATGAAACAGATATGTTTTGCCCGGTTTACCTGTTGTTTTATGTGCTGAATGGTGTTGAATTGTTGTTTTTTAATGGCCTGAATGATGTGATCTTGAATGTGTTCTGGTTTCTCTTTGAGGAACTTTTAGTTACTCTTGTGGTGCGATAGAAGGCCCAGGTCAAAACAATATGCGCACTCCTCTACTAGGTCTACGCGGAGAAGCTTGAGGGCCCGATTGTGTATAGTTTTATCGATGTCGAAGACATCACCGGAGAAGAGGCGCGTGAAACTGGGAAGTGAGGCAATAAAAAACATGTGTCAACCGGTGCTTGGTTAAGAGGTGATAGATTGTTTGATGTATATAAATCGCAAGATGTTTGCAAACATTTGCCAAACATTTACAGTTCTCTAGTGTCCAGTTCGCCTAGGTGTACGCCTATGGCTAACATTTGTCATGCAGTAACTAAAATCCCTCAGCGTGCCGGCCCACAAGAGGTGTCGATAGAAGACTCACATATAAAAAAAAACTTACACATTGCCCTCATGCTGATTTCAGCCGGGCGCTTCAAGGAATCCGCCATCTCCATGTTGGGAGGGTCTCGTTCCGCGCTAAGTGGACCGTGGACACGACCAAAATACCTGCAACCAAGGCGTCTGGGAAGGATTGGCACGACCTGGTGGATGCGGGTTACTTGGACGTTGACTGGCGAGACGTGGAATTCCCCGTCGGATCCCTGGAGTTCCCCCGGGCCTTACGCCGGGGCGAAGCCAAGGCGAGGGCGTGAAGTTGGGTTTGGTGGTTGTTTCGGCACGCGACGACGTGGGCGTTCAACGGAGAGTATTGTTGCTAGTAGCGTCCGATCGCTCCGTTCGTAGCGATGCCCTTGCTCCTAGTAGCTTCTGGCTCCTAGTAGTATGGCCAGGAGCCCCTAGTAGCGTCCTAGTATGGTTGTTGGTTGACCCAGGCTAGCAATATGCAATCAGAGTTGGTAGATCGAACAACGTACGTCTAACCCACGATTTGCTCTGTCGGTCATATCATATCTTACATTCCTGATATTTCCTGCTGCTCGTGTTTGCACATGTGTTTGGCACATGGTAGCCCGTCGCGATGGAGAAGCCTGAGAGGCATTCCTAGTGTGCAAAGTTGCGCTTGGACGTGCCAGCACAGCATCTTGGCCGAATGCTCTCATCGCAGATCCTGGCACGACGGGAGCCATGTAGAATTGCAGACCCAATGAAGTTTGTGCCAGCTTCAATGCGTCCTAATCTTGGGTTTGCTTCTTGGTCACTACATAATGGTCAAAATCGGGATCATTTCGTCATGTGTTTTTGCAATTCAGATCGTCTTTTGGGGCACCAGAACGACCCAACTTAGGTGAAAGATGGAGAGGTCCCCAAATTCCCGGAGTTCTTCTCCTCGTGCTTCCCGGATGCAACGTCGGATCGGTCCATCCGGGGGCCTCTTCAGGAATGGATGGAAGGGACGGACAGGGAGGGGGGGGGGGGGAGACACCCCGGTGACGGAAGGGGAGGACAGCGACAAAGGTATACTGTCATCCCAGGACTATAAGATCTATATATATAATGTTTCAATGTGTTTCACTGAGCAGATCTGAGCCAAGATCGAATTGACCACAGCCGATCTTGAACTTAAGCCTTTTTGACTTGTGTCGGGCTTGTCCCACCTTTCCTGGTTCTTGTTAGGTTTCATGTGGCCGTTTTGCTTTCGTGAGAGCTGGCACAGATTGTACCTTGATGTTACCTTGTAATTTACTGTATATATTGGG